AAATGGGAACATGATGTAGAAAATCCAACGCCAAGTTGTGTGCTGAGCGATGACGCCGCCTAGTATAGGACCGGCACAGTTGCCCAACGCCCATGCTGCCTGACTAGAGATGAACGGCGCGGTCAGCGGAAGGAAGAACGAGCCCGAGAGGGAGGGTCCTCACACTACGCCGTACCACGTAGGTCGGACCGGCAAAGGGACAAAGTCGGTGAAAATCAACAGGCATAAGACGATGATGCCAGCACCGCCAATGCCTTGGAGAGACCGCCCCACCAATATCAAGCCGATGGAACGCGATACGCAGCAGAAGACCGTGCCTAGAGTGAAGAAAGCGACCGAGATGGTCAGGCATGGCCGTCGACCGAACACGTGGCTCAGATCCGCTATGAATAACATCAGCACGGCGTTGGCTAGGAGGTACGCCGTGCCTATCCAAAAGCCGTCGTACGTGCTGAGCTCGAGGTCTACAACGATAGCCTATGACTATGAGCATGCCAAGGATGGAAAGTGTTTGGGAGGATATCGAACCTGCAAAGAGGTCACAATGACACAGGCGTCAAGGGCGACCATGAGCGACAACAAGGCGGCCGTCGCCATGATGGCGAGATGATGTCGTGAGGGCTTCCATTGGGCTGGGTTTTGGCCGAGGGCATCCTCTCCTAGCTCTCCAGAATGAACGCTCTGCGGACGATGGACGTACGGAGGCATATTGAAAGACAAAAGTAGAGGATTGTGCAAGAAGTACGGGTGAAGAATAACGTGAACTTATCAAGACGCAAATTTTGAGTCGAATCCAAAGGGCCTCTACCCTTATATAGCAAGAAGTGGTGTCAAAGTACCCACTCGGAAACGGAGACCGATGAGCGGCGGCAGAGGCGCTTCTGGTATCCAGACATCAGGCCCATCTACGACAGATGGCTTACATATGATTATTGCGAGGAGTCAAACAAAAGCCTGTTTACGTTGCGAATGAATGAGAAAAGCCGCTCCTAGCGATGTAAACGGCAATATCCGGCGACCTTGAGAATGCTTCCAGCGCAAGGCTTCAACAGCAAATTATGGACACAAGTTGGATGGCTAGAATGTATAAGGCTCAACACGAGATCTAGACAGCTGACCGAA